CTTTCAATGCTATAGCTGCGTGTGCGTTTAGTTCAACTACTGGAAAATTTTCAGTCGCCTTGTCCAACATTTTTGACATGACAATGAGGCCAATTGCACTGGTCTAATCAGACGGACTTCAGTTCTGTAAGCTATTAAAACGTGTTGTTGTTTTTTTTTACTGTCGGTGTAGGCAGACGAGCATACGGCTCACCTGATAGTGAGTGGTAGTAGTACCATCGCTCATGGACTTCAGCAATGCCTGGGGCAGAGCCAAGCCGCTGCCTACCGCTAAGTGCAGAAGTTGTTGGTTTTTTTTGTACAATGTATTTTTACTTGATTTTATTTGAACTTTAGGTCACTTGCAATTGAACCTACGAAATTGACTGTTTTCTGTGTATCATAATATACTTACTTTTCCTAGCATTTATATTTTAGAAATAGCAATTTTTGTTAAAACTAATATACATTTATTTCCTACATTGAATGATACAAGGACACGTACCACTGCAATGAGATCAAAATATAAGAATTTATTGTGTACAGGTCAATCTAACACTGCATTGCTGAAAAAAAACGTTATTGGTATGGCTCCTATTATATTCAGCAAATTGCCGAATAGTATAAAGGATCAGTCCTTAAGAAAGTTTAAACAACTGCTGTCTTCGCTGTTATTAAAGAAGTTAAAGTGTTATTACTCTGTTACTGATTTCCTAAATAATGAATTGTAACACTCTCCTTATTAAGATTTCAATTTTTATAATAAACTTTTTGTGATCTCATTCTTAAATTTATCTTAATACCTAGTTTAAATTAGCTGTAAGTTTCTCCTGCAAAATTTGTATGCCAACAGGCAGAATGTAGTGGGATTGAATATATTTTATACTAAGACCATACTTGTACCTGCATTCTATACAAATAAATGAATTATTATTATTATCATGTACAGGAGGAAGTTCAAAATTTGGAATAAATTAAATGCTCTAATTAATCGATTAATTCCATAGCAAATATATTTATTAGTGCCACAAGAAGCATCCCTGTATTAAATGCATACAATTCAACACATTGCACTAGGGCTTGTGCAACGTTTTTTGCCACGTCTAAAATTACTCCGTAATCATTACGCGTTGCGTTACTTGTCATAGGTCAGTGCCGTTGCGAAATGCTGGATCACATTACGACTCGGATAATCACGAGATTAGATTATTTTGGGTTACGTCAAAGAACTGTTTTTTTTTCTTTATCGTTTCTAAATTACAAGTGAGTCGACTATTATCAAAGCCGGCAATGTGACTTTTGGATAATTATTGGTAAATCAGAAAAACGAATTATTGACTTTGTATTCCATTGGCAGTCACAAAACTCTTCTGAACGACATTTTAGATAAATAACAGGTTAAGTATTAACCTTTATTTAATGCAGGTTTTGAACCGTATTCTTTGAAGGAGACGATTATATTCAAATCAATCTGTATTGACATATCAATAATTTTTTTTGTTGTCCAAATGCACAGATTGCCACCTTTGATAATAGACGACTCAAGTGTTGTCTCGATAAAAGCAAACCGGTACGTTTGGTAATTTCACATTCACAGCGTTTTAGGGATTTAGTGTTATCGAAACCTAAAAGTTTGAATGGTATGTCTTTTTTTGTTTTTAAATAAGGAAATGAATGGGAATTTTTGACGCGCTGTTGCTCCGATTAAGACGTCACGAATTCATTGTTATTTGCACAGGTGATTTCCGAGAAACACAAGACGTAGGCATTCGAACCATTTAGAATTGTTCTATTAGTCACCGTCTCGTTAGAAAAAAAAACGTATCTATTTATGTCCGAACCGCATGCGATTGTTTTTATTTAATAGATTTGGATCGCATTCTCGCACCCGTAGTTTTTTCATACCAATTGTTTGGTATCTTTTATTGCTAAATACATATATGTTGGAAGCTCGTTTAGTTTTGACTGATGCTGGTAATATCAATCATATTATCAATAACGAGAATGTCCCACCCGTTTTGAGACATGACGTCACAAACTCAAGTGTAAATATTGTAAAACGACTTATTTTTGCCCAAAGGTTATCAGAACAACTTGGAGGGTACAATAGGTAGTATTAAAACTGATGCTCTGACTTTAGTTCTTAATGTGGCCAGTGAAATAGACGTTGTGACTTTTATGAGCCTCAAGAGTCATCAGTTGGGTCGTGAGCTGCTTTTCCCACCTAAAGTAGAAGAGAAACAAGCTGTCGCTCGTGAGCACTCGTGAATATTCTTCATGGCACTTACATGACAACGGAATGTGTCAAAACTGAGCTGAGCTGAGATTCCTCACATGAAATACAAATCTTGAGCCTTAAGTATTCTAACAAATTGTGCTGGCAATTTATTACTGAAATTAATATTTAATATATTAAAAAAAAAGTAAAACAAAATCATCATTCATTTAGATCTCAGGTTTAGATGCGAACTAGATACGTCGTGGATGTTCGTGGAGCAGTCTAAATTCGACCATAATCGCCGACGGCTCAAGATTTTGATTCATTAAATTTATTAATTTTTTTCTTGTAACGGCGCTAATTTTTATTTTTATTTTTTATTATATCAATAAATTTCAATGACTATAATACCAAAAAGAGCTATTCGGTTGACAAAGAGACGAAGGCACTGAACTGTTTTTCCGTCATTGCCTATTTATAAATAGATCACACACACACCTATGAGAACGCTGAGCCAACAGTGCTCTTATATAAATAAACTATCAGTATTAACGGCGAGAGGTGTGTTCATGTAAAAATAAATTATGTGGAAATCTATAAACATTTCGAGAAAAATAAACATATTGTTAGGATAGTCATTCGGCGAGTCTAAGTGGTCTTAGATGAAGATGTACCTAATCAATAAAACCCTTTGCTATCTGACTTATATAACTAAAATCCTCTTTGCGAAGGATCTCGAATCTCGGATGGTCTTGATTGGACGGTATTGGGGTTTGTTAGTGAGGTTTGCATCTTGCGTTCCTGGGACTGTCAATGATTGTGGCAGTTTCCTGCGTCCTCTATCCTGTAGATCTGTTGGATTGACAATGACAAGAGGTTTCTTAGTGGTACCCCCGTGGCTGCGAAGAATCTATACATATAAATAAAATTGGTGTGTCTCTTTGTAATATTGAAATAACCGCTTTTTCCTACATGCATATGAATATATATACGGTACATACACCAAAATAACATTTTTTACAATTTTTGTCTGTCTGTCTGTCTGTCTGTTTGTTCCGGCTAATCTCTGGAACGGTTTAACCAATTTTGACGGGGCTTTCACTAACAGGTAGCTGATGATATAAGGAGTAACTTAGGCTACTTTTTTTAGACTAGCTTCGCCCCGCGGCCTCACCCGCGGTACGACAATAACCGCGGGTAATATCGCGGGACTCAACTATCAATAATAAAATTTAATGTTTCCGAAGCGAAGCGAGGGCGGGTCGCTAGTAATAATAAATAAATGATTTGCATTTGCAGCCTTGTTGTGCCGTCTAAATGTGGCAGAATTACTATTGGGCGATCAGGGATTATCGCTTTGCTGGTGCACAGATAAGATAAGATGCAGCCGGAGTTTTAGTAACAAATATGAGTACTGTTTCAATAAATAAAAACACAATAGGATATTGCATGTTCGATAATCAGCGCGCGAGTTGAACGCACATTGGTTTTTTGGCAAACGATGGCTGTCCGCTTCTCGGAAAGATTACATTCAGAACCCTAAGTACCTGATTGTTTGCCGGTCACCGAACCCGGAGCGGTTCTTCGTTATTTTATTATAACTGGTTTCGATTTAATTTCGTTATCTGGGACAGTCCTTTCGTGACTCAAAACTTCTCCCTCGGCCCATCGAGATAGTGTCGATGCGCGCTACAAGTACTTTATTGATTATCATTTTGATGGGCCGTTTTGTGATACGTTGCATTTGGCACCTGTCAACGAAGTTCTTAAAAGTATGGGGAGTTAATTATTGTTTTTGCTTGATTACTGAGACAAGATCGGTAGGCAGCGGGTTTGCTCTGCCCCTGGTATTGCTGAAGTCCATTGGCGACGTAAACCACTCACCATCAGGTGGGACGTATGCTCGTCTGCCTACAAGGACAATTACAAAAAAAAGCAAAATTCGTATCTTTTATAGGATTGCGAACATATTCTCTAAAATATGAAAATTATCATATGATTAATTACATTATTATTCAACATAAAAATATTTATTTCAAATCGTAATGAGAATTTGGAATAAATTTATAATTTATGGATGAACATTTAGAAAAAGAAATATCCTAACTGTCGTCCGTTCCATTAATAAATTAGATAGTAAAATTAAAGTACTGTAAACGCGCGTCTTCAATATTTGTCCGGCGGAGGTGTGGTCGTGTGTAATAAATAAACTCTGCTTGCAAATGAATCGCATTAAATTGTAATTAAATGAATTTACATAGGAGTCGAGTTGTTTGTTGACGCGTCGCTCGATCACGTGTTGCGTTCGACAAGTGGATGCGCGTCGAATGCCAAAGGATCGTTGACATCGCCAATACTTCATACGTTAATTTATTGTGACCGGTTCAATGACCCGCAATTAGCCCCTGTGCCCTAGCCCTATTGAGATAAACGACCGCGGTCCGTTCTCTAAGGCGAACCCTCGCGTTTTACATAGCAACAATCTTGCCATTTGCGATTGTTTTTAATACTAATTAGAATTGTTCAGTAGATCTTGAAGAATCACTGTTACTCAGTAGAGCGTTCAAGTGTGAAAGTATTTTTTTTAAGATGTGTGTTGCAATCGATTGTTATAATTAATGTAATAAGATTAAGAAATAGCATGCTTTTTTGTTGTTCATTGTGCTTGGATATTTTCATATTTTGTTTCGATTGTATAGGTTTATGTCTAGATGAATGCTCATAAATTTGCGTTAAATAATAAAGTAACCTGAGAATTAAATAGAGATGTTGTATTTATATTTTTTTTTATTGTTGTCATCAGCTATCACGATTGGCATCAGGGTGATCGGACCGGCGCTGGGATTCATGCTCGGTGCGTTTTGCACGAGAGTCTACGTCAATCCTCTAGTCGATCCAGGATTCGATTCCAGCAACCCGAAATGGGTCGGCGCATGGTGGCTCGGTAAGTCTAATTATTTTTATAAACTATTATCTATTTCAGCACTTAGTACTTAACAGTAGGCAGCGACTTGGCTCTGCTCCTGGTATTGCTGAAGCCCATGGGCGACGGTAACCACTCACCATTAGGTGGGCCATACGTTCGTCTGCCTACTAGATTCACGATTGATATTTTAAACCGCAGTTCAGATAACGAAGGCTGTATGTCGAGTGATTTAAAGTCGTTTTGCTCAATGACCCACCAGTGACAACTCACGTAGCTTCAATAAATTCTGTAATTCAGTGAGCTTAGTGCGAGTTTCTTAACGTTCTCGATAGCGTAAAAGTTAACTCATATTTGTATGGAATGGGATCGTTTGCGTACGTTTCCCGCTAGGGGCGCTGTTCCAACTGCATACAAAATTGGCTTAACTTTTACGCTAACGAGAACGTTAAAAAACTCACACCAAGCACACTGCATGTCTTCTAGTATGGTAACCGGTTAATTTACGCCTTCCAGGCTCTTAGTGACTTTTCAAATTCGCAAAGCACTTGTCGTAGAGACCGGCCGGCCGCTTCGACAGTTTCGCGCATGACAACTTGCGTCCTTTTACCTGCAATTACGACTCATTAGGCCGAGGCTCCGTGCAAGCGTGCGGTTACCGTCCAACACGCATAATATCCATTTCTAATTAACTTGTCAGCCAATAGCGTAAGACTGCACTACCATCACATAATACACGCTGTTTCGTTTCACGCTAACTCATTAATTGTTCGTTTGTAGAATATTTTAAGCGCTCGTTTTGATTTAATTACATGAAATTTGTTGCTAGGCAGCTAAAATAGAATTTTTATTAGAGTGAACCAAGCGAGAAGATGGCCGTTCAAATGGTTCGATTGGTTGTGTTTAAGAAAAACTTCATGACGCGCTGAAAATTTGAATGTAAACATTTGTAAAGTGTTGCATTGTCGTCGAGTGTCGCTTTGGAAATTGTGGCATTCCTTCGCGCCGCCACCATCTACCGTTATCGAAGCGTTTAAACAGATTTGCGCGCAAAACCCACGAAGAAAGCACGCGCGTGACCAAATTGCCAACGCAACTTCGCTTGCGCACCGAGCGCTCGCTTACATTTTGCAAATCACCATTGAGGCCTGTCCCCTTATTTACATTGTTACAAGGTTCAAATTTGATAGGTGATAGTTTGGGCGTTTGTATCTTAAATCTGTAGAAATTTGCCGCGACCGTGTCCCGACTGTCAATTACGTGAATTCGCAAATACGCGTAGAACGGTTTCCGCGTATTTCCTTATTGTCCCACTCCCGTCCGCTCATGAATGAAGTTCTGAATTTTAATATGACAGTTTCGTACAATGTACAAAACTATAGTAATATAAAATTGTTGCATTATGCATACCTCTGATACTTAATTAATAATCAAATGATGTTTTACATTCGAATGAATGGGATTTACATTAAAATTATACTCTAAAAGCGCACGTCGGGTTTCCAATAATAATCAGTGAATAATTAATTTATAAAAAGATATATAAATACGGATGAAACTGCATAAAACGGTGGCCCGACCAATTAATTTGTAGATAATCTTGTTGTAGCTTGTTAATCTTAGCCATGATACTGTGATGTCGTTTACCTATGGCATTTCACACCGCTTTTGTATTGAATAAAAATAAATTTTCTCAACGGGTAATGAACATACAAATCGCATGTTGCAACACGATAATCGATACTCATTACAAGCTTCCCTCATTCGGCATTAATCAAGTTCTGAATTCAATGTAATCGTTTCTCGGAAAGGGGTGCTCGGGGCGATCTTGTATTTATTTCACCATGATGAATTGCGGACACTGTTGGACAATTGTTACGCGTGCATCGTTCATTTATTTGGAAACGTTGATGAGTTCACGCGCGTCGGAGTGGCGATGTATCCGCAGCGGGCATTACTGATCGTATTTTTCGCATTCCCGAGATGCTTTCGCTTTTTCTCGGGTGGGATAGTGCGGCGTCACGCAGCGTCGCAGCGCACGCCGCCAGTTACATAACGAGTGTTACATCACGCCGCGTCACGATCGCTAAAATAAGCACTATGCGTGCCCGGTCACGGCCAAGGCTGAGCGCGCCTTGCTGCCGACAATTATGCCTTCGACATTGCCCGTAATGAGGATTTAGTGGGTGGACACGCGACCGCGCCGCCGCCGCGCTCACTTTTACTTTTAAACCGGTTACGAGTTGACCTTCGTCTTTCTATCTCGTCTATATTTTTCTAGTATCGGATACTTTGACACACCACCCGATTCTCCGCTTTCTCAATTGAGCGTACGTAAAAATAACGTGGACGTATCTACGGTGGATACGTACAGCGTCTAGCGAACGCCCTTGACTGATCGTCGACCGGCCGACCTTGTGAACGCGCAAATGTTTTCTGTTTGCATCTATCGCTTGTAATTGTGTTTTCAAACTTGGAAATATTTGGAATAGCTCCTCACGCGAACGGGAAATCCTTGTGCTCCAATTTAACGATCGGTTACCGGTTCGTATATATATATAATAATAATAAATTCACAGCGAGGCTCAAGGTATTTCTGATCTAGTTACGAATTCGAATTGATTAACGTTTCATCTGATCGTACCGCTAGAGGTACGATAATTCCGCTAATTAGAATATTCCATAGCTCTGATACGTTGTGTACACAGCGAATGACTGGTCCATATAAGTTAGCCACGAATTCTGTTTGTTCGTTAGCGATTTTTTATTCGGCACATTGTTGCTTGATGATATCCTTTGCATGTTTTATTTGCAAGAATAATAAATCTGTTTATGGTATTCATTAGGGTACAAAACGTACGAGTCGAGATTAAATTAAATATTTGCATTATGTTTTACCATGACTCTCATAACAAACTTCTATAATGTAATAAATATTAAGGAATGTACACATGTAATCGTTAATCGGTTACCTAGGAGGCCTTACCTTTGTAATTGGCGTAGGTGTGAGCATGTTAAGTGGTTACAGAAGACCATGTACATACTATGGTCGATCTTGCGTGATTCATCATCATCATCAGCACACAATCGTCCACTGCTGGACATAGTCCTCTCCCAATTCACACCACTGAGCCCGCTCCTCGACTCTCCTCATCCACCTTTTGCGTGATTAGGTGTCGAGGAGAAAAAGCCATCCAGCCTTGGCAGACCGAAATGTATTTACTGCTCGCCTGAAGGCGGACCTATAAGACTTCTAACCAATCGTACTTTAGATATTAATTGGAGGAGAAAAAAATCTTAAGAAATAGACGTTATCCTTTTCGAAAAAAGTTGACTTTCTTTCTCTGAATTTTCTAGATTGAGGTTTTAAATATTAAGACACAAGTTGGTTTTTTTCTTCCATAGATTTGTGAAAATTAATATGAATAATATAAAGAAAGACTTATATATTTTTTGAGAAATAACGCAAAGAAGGTTAACTTCAAGCAGGCGGTCGGCCGTAATACTCACGCCAAATCCCTAAGCATCATGACAAGGGGATACGCCACGCTGACTCCTCATAATGTGGGTTAAGGGCATGCAGAAGAAGAACATTGCATGGACTAAGAGTCTCACATGGTGTTAATTGGTTACCGTAACCTATAAACATCGTAACGTAAATACTGATAGCCACCCTGAGACACGAGCTCGGATTTGAATCGTATAGTATAACAGCTGCCCACCCCTCAATACGGTATACATGATAGCTTCGCAGCTGAAACAGCCCGGATATACCCGCGTGGGCTAACAATGCGTCCCACCACCAGTAATTGTGCGGATTGCGGTCTTTCATGAGTCCAATGTGGTTGCGATTCGTTCGAAACGTTCTACAAATACGGTAAAAAAAATTGACCAGCGGGATTTGGACATCGGCACAGTCGTCTGATACGAGTACGCCGGGCGTCTTAACCTTTAGGCCCAAATGACGTCACTGTTTTTTTTTTTTATTTGTTTCACAACTGGATGAATCTGCACACATAAACATTGAACTTATTTACATAAAATAATACATTATAGAATTCACCCTTTTGGGTGTGAACACATCTTGCTTAAGAGCGTTTGTCCTTAAAATATCGTTAACTAATATTAAATGAAGACAAAGAAAACAAAAAACTACATATACAAACTTACAAAAAAAAAACAATAAAGATTAAAAGAGGGAAATTAATGTTCTATAGAAATCAAAATAAATGTGGTTGGTCTAAAGCTCGGTGTGGATCACGGAACTTAAATTTATTTTAAGTGAGGCTAGAGAAGCATGGCAAACAAATATGTCAATTTCATCACGTATACTATTTGCCAGGGAAGTCATATGATAGACAGAAGAGTGCTGGCCAAGATTACTTTTGATTTTTGGTAGGTGGAAAGTTTTCCGATTACATAAGCGGCATATTTTAGTGAAAATCGGCTACAGCTGTACATTAGAAAAAAAAAAATCGCCAATCAAATTCTCTTCCACATTTGAATGACTTGACCAGGCTTACGAGTTTAATTGTTTATACCACAATATATTTGGCACAATCCGCCTTAAAGGTTCTGTTTACAAATAAGATAACGTTGAGTATATATTTGCTGCAGGAATGGTGTTCATCGCCGGTTTCATCGTGATGCTATCGTGTCTGATGTTCTTCTTTCCGCGTCAGATCAAACCCGAACCGATCCAATTGCAGATGAAGAAGACCAAAGAGAAGCGAGAGCCGTTCGTCAAAGGTAAAGCATTTGTCAACTTCAACTGGTTCATTCGGCTAGTAATTTAAAACCTACCTTCTTTTGTAAGGATAATTTAGAAGATTGCTAGAAAATTCTAAACTTACTTTTAATTGTGTTCTATTTTATTAGTTTGATCACTCTTTTAAGAGCGTTATCGAGATTTTTGCTTAACATATTTTATAGGATACCTCGTACTGTATCAAACATGGGATGCAATTTAGATTTCAACCTCATGTTTCAAGGTCGGTCACGGTATTCGCATTTCGATGGATTTCTGTAACCCTCAAAAAAAAATAAAAAAAAATAAAAATCGATTTTCATTAGACAACCCTATTGATATTGGACAGCCCTACGTGTATATCTCCTGGAAACGATATAAGCGCGTTTTAAGACGCGAGGCCACGTGATTTCTTTTAAAGAAATGAATTGATTTAGATGTCTGATGTCTAGATGCTTGTGAGTCATATGTTGTTTATAACTGTTTATTGAACGAATATCATAGCGTTTGATACAAAAAAATAACAGTTATATTGTAGAGACTTCTGACGGGAGAGAAACTAAGGCCCATGTGGCGTTAAGTGGTAGGTAATACTAATACTTGAATACCAATGCGGGATTGTTAAGACCCAGCGTCTTTGTAAATGTTGCGTTTTTACCTCAGTATTCTTAAATACGTTTTTTTTTTATTGCTTATATGGATGGACGAGCTCACAGCCCACCTGATGTTAAGTGGTTACTGGAGCCCATAGACATTTACAACGTAAATGCGCCAGCCACCTTGAGATATAAGTTCTAAGGTCTCAGTATAGTTACAACGGCTGCCCCACCCTTCGAACCGAAACGCATTACTGCTTCACGGCGGAAATAGGCGGGGTGGTGGTACCTACCCGTGCGGACTCCCAAGAGGTCCTACCACCAGCACGTTTTATAGTGTATAATAAGTTAAGTTTATATTGGCGATACATACATAAAGTAAAAATAAAAGCTATTTTTACTTTTTCTCTAAAAAAATTTAGCAGTAGCAACACGGTAGTGTTGTCAGGTTTTAAAATGTTTAACATTTTGTCCGTGGCGCAGCGGTGTCTTGCTTCATATGAGATGTCGCTGTTTCGATCCTGAACACACACCACCTATGTTTTAACTTTTTTGGCATGGACTATTAAAAGTTCCCTGTTATTATTAATAAAGATTTTAAGAAATATGTATTCTATAGTTGAGTGGCTCCGCTAATAACATAACGGTAGGTGGGTCGAGAGATCGTCCACCCATGTATTACATATCCCAAATTGACGGTACTGACAATCGAATAGTTTAATACGTTTAAGTGAAAAGTCAATGTCACATATCAAAAAACCGTGCGAGGCGGATTGGTCCCGCGCCCCCTTCAGTAGTCCATTACACTGTCCAAACTACGTCCCTTGTTTTATGTGTCTAGTGACTGGAATTCTATGGATACATTAAAATTAAAAAAAATTATAATAGTTTAGCAAAACTAAAAAACACGCTTTATATAAAATTCAACTAAAAAATAGAAAATAAATTTCAATAAATGTAAATTGAAAATAGTGTAAAAAATTATATTTTATTGTAAAGAAAGCGTGGGATGCTTTTTAAGATATTATTGAAATAATAATTCTTCTACTCATATCTGACAGAAAAATATTTATAACTAATAACACCATGCACCTCACGCTTTTTTATTCTTTCTATTTTTTAGTTGAATTTCAATTTTTTTTCCATTTTTTTTTTAAATTTTGATTTGTCATCGGTCCTCGATAAATCTACAAAGTTTGAATGAAATCTGGCCGTTTAAAGTGGGTCCCAAACGCGTCTAAATAAGTCAATTACAAACATACATACAATTGAAGCTAATATAAAGCGTGTAAAAAAGAATAAAAAGATGGTACTGTGTAATAAACGTTCCCTAACAACAACTGTACTTCGTCTCGAGCACGTAGCTTTTATAAACCGATGTATTTTTTCCTCATAAAATTGAATTCGAATTCCAAAATTATTATATGTTTCCTGTCTATTTCATTAAATAGTGTTTTTTTCATGTTGTGAATAATATCCTGTCTATTTTATTAAAACATGCGTGTGTGTGTCAAATAATGGACCTCTCTCGCCAGCCGAGCTCGTTATAGACGCGATAAAACAGCGGAGGATGATCAAATAATAACTCGCCGAATAAATGCAACAAATAACTCGGAGTATATATGTTTTTGTTGATATATTTATTTTATTTTAGATTATTAATTTTATGAATGTTTCGTCGCAGCAATCCAAACAGACAAAACGCTGACGACATATTAAATGCAAGGAATTTGAGTTATACAATTGAATGACTATTTATGTAGCTGTTGATTATAATACTTTACAGTAATAGTACGGGTCAGCCTCACAAAGGCGTGTCACGCCTGTTTGTGTCTTAGTTCAAGCGGACAGTTGTTTTTTTCCCCTACCTATTCGTTGGTAACCTAAGGGGCTATTCCAGCTATGCGCCGACGGGTAGATGAACTCACGGACTCAACCCTAGAGAATATGCTAATTCTAGTTCTAGCAAGAACCGAGCTTCGCTGAATCTACCAACGGATCGAAATCGCGATCCATTGAGAACATCTCGGGAGTGAAACAAAGTGGACTGTGCCGATGGGGGACAGTTGTTATTGAATACACTTAACACTTGAATCTCTTGACTAAGATATTTGATGGAATTTTTATTGTGACGTCTGTGTGTTGCGGTTATCACACAATCGCAGGTGGAAACGCGAACTAACCAGTTTATGGTAATAAAATGAAAGTACATATATCTCTCGGCAGTAGCTCAGAAACTTCCTACAATATAATGATATTATATATTAGTGGTCCCCTGGGAGTGGAAATTCGACTATAATTAATTGAAATTATAAGTTTGTACACTATTATGATTCTATTAACAAATACAATACTTCTATAATCACAGATTTAATCAAGACTACACTTAGACAAATATTAATAAAGACAAACAATATTTAATCTATTCTCAATTTGACCACAGACTATAAGTAATAAGAAAAATTTGACAATAAACAAATAGTATGCATGCGTGCGTGTGTCAAATACGTAGTAGTGTGTGTAATGTTTTTTTTTATTGATTTAATGTATTATTAATGTACAATAAAAAAAAAATATTATCATTCTGCACTCCTTCTCTATATTCGTTATAAGTGTGGGAAATTTCATACACCTTCGTCCGCGCAATTTTCGTAAAAAGGGGTACAGTTTTTGCTTCACATATTAATATTTAGATGTTTGTCGATCCCACAAGTTCTTGTTATCTAGTAATCACTAAACATATTTCACTGATTATACCATATAAATTATTTACACATCACGACATCAACATATCTCCGATAAAGGATATGTAGGGTACAGTTTTCAGTCTAACGGCTCAGTAATGCGTTCCAGATAATATAATATGATTAGTTAAAATTAATTTTTGTGTACGTCTCAACGTTAACGTTCAATGTATCGCTTCAGAAATAGAATTAGCCTTAATAATAAATAAATTCAGTATAGTCGTACATATCGGGATGAGTTATTACAGTGACGGCCGCGCCGTTATAGAATTTACTATCTTTTTGATTTAGAACGTTTCCTCTTTGGCAATCTCGTGAGCTATCCGATCTTAACGTTTGTACTTGCTATTTTAGTTTTTATTTTAAAAGACTTCAAAAAAAAAAAAAGATGATGTATTTTTTGTGTGTGTGTGAGTTAACCTCAATCTTTTTTTTTGATGAACCCATTTTGATAGTTTTTATTTATTTATTTATTTGAAATCTGAAACTTCTCGTGTATTTGCATTTCATTTTTATAAAATTTTGATCAGTAGTTTTCGTGTTATCTATACTAATATATAAATCTACAGTGGTTTTTACGGATGTTCCATTATAACTACTGAACCATGCATCCGATTGACTTGAAACTTGGTATCCATGTAGAATAGAAAATACATGTACTTAATGGATAGGCTAATATAATATAATATGAGTGTTGGACTCCCTACACTAGTTGCGGGGGCGTTTATGGTGAGAATCTTTGTGGGGGTGAGAAATAATAATGTTAATTTTAAATGCCCAGCGAAGCGGACGGGTACAGCTAGTCCTTAATAATAATGCATATTCAATCTACTTTGGTGACACTGATGAAATTTTCATTTTATATTTTTGTCTCATTATTCACATCGACGCTTAAAAGGCAAACGTGACTAAGCGACAATGCGTGAACTTTACAGTAGACTAATTTAAAGTTGAAATTAATTTAAAATATACCTAAGAAATACCTGAAAAAAATTCTATTTTAACGAATCTAGCTGTAGGATTGCAATGATTTTAATAGACCTAGAAATATATTTTATTTGCGCATCGAATATGGTTATTGCCTATCATTTATGTACAAAGCAGTTATTGTCGCTTAGTCACGTTTGCCTTTCAAGCTTCGACATCTAGTCTTGTCTATTAATAATTTTGTTTTATTTCCTACAGTAGAGGCTACGTTGGTCACGTCTCTTGGAGTTTTTACGGTCGTGAACATAATGAACTGTTACTCCCGTTTCAGATTTCTTCGCGGCGATTAAGAGGCAGATTACGAACGACATTCTGATGTGGAGGACGGCCAGCTCCGTGTTGCATCTGATGCCGATCAGTGGAGTTTACAGTTTCCTACCCAAGTATTTGGAGAAGCAGTTCCGACTCCCGACGCACGATGCCAATCTTGTGTCTGGTCAGTTTTTTTATTTTTATTTAATTTTTTTATTGCTTAGTTGTGTGGACGAGCTCACAGCCCACCTGGTGTTAAGTGGTTACTGGAGCCCATAGACATCTACAATGTAAATGCGCCACCCACCTTGAGATATAAGTTCTAAGGTCTCAGTATTGTTACAACGGCTGCCCTACCCTTCAAATCGAAACGCATTACTGCTTTACGGCAGAAATAGGCACAGGGTGGTGGTACCTACCCGCGCGGACTCATAATAGGTCCTACCATCAGTAAAAAGTTTACAAGTTTACTTTCATTAGTACTTCCCAAAGGACAGGAAATCGTTATTGTGCTAAGCTTATTTCCAGCTATGGCTTGGGTTCGAAGGTACTTAAATAAAATCGAAACACAAATTAACTTTCTCGTTATATCGACAGGTGAAAGGTTATTTGGTTTAAGCCAGTTTTTTGCAACTTTACAGAGAGCTATTTAAAGTTTGAAATTTGGTAAATATGTCATAACAAAAGAAGTTCTTCAGCCATTTGAATGGCGTTTATTTAATTGAAGTTCAATTAAAAACATCGAAATGTTAATGATAATACCCAAATAAAACGGACCTTTAATTACAAAGATAGATGTCACGTATTAAGGGATATGTCGCTTGTAGTAAATAGACTCTCGGCCCTCGCAATATATTAAAAAAGGGGGAATTACCCGACCACAAAATAAAACAGTATTACAGTCTCTTTTTCCCTAGTAATTCTCTGGTAGCCTTAAAGTTTATTCCAGCTACGGTCTTAATATTGTATACATCCTTAAAGGATTCTCTTACCTTATAACTAATTTGCCCAACGTTCATAAGAAGAGGAAAGTTTTAATATAAAATTTATTTAAGTATACTTAATATATATATATATATATATAAATGTGAAAGTTTGTGTTATTGTGACCCGTATCACCTTAAAATGACGAATCAATTTGAATGAAATTTCGCAAGATATTTTGTGACATGTATTAACATAAACTTTTTATTGTATTATTAGAAAAAGTGTGAAAAGTAGAAATACGTGAGTAACTTCCTTATCTCGGGAAAATGTAACGTGCTTCGTTAATTTTGAATAAGAAAATGGGGGCGATGATTTTTTTTTTCTTTTTTTTTTAACCTACTTATTCGCTGGCAGCTTAAGTGGCTAATTACAGCTACGCTCTGACGGGTAGGTGAGCTCACGGGCTCAACCTGAGAGAATTTGCTAACACTAGCCCCAACAAGAGCAGTGCTTCGCGGAATCTACCACCGGATCGGAATTGGGACCCACTGAGAAGATTCGGCGAGAAACTCAGTGGGCTGTATCTATGGGTTAGTTCGCTCGTGGACGGTTGACGAGGACGGTGACCGGTGCTTGAGGTATTTAAAAGCACCGAGAGTCAATCCGGGGTATCTGACAACACATGTTTCGGGCGATGCCGGCTTTGCGTTGCCCCGTCGCGGTCAGATAAGATGAAGGCGATCAAAACCCTAGGATACATAGTAGGTTATTATAATTTTATCCCGGTACCTCTTACATTCCAGCTCTCGGTGGTATCCTGGTGATGGGACTCGGCATAATAACGTCGGGAGTTGTCATACTGAAGCTTGTACCGTCCGCAAGACAGGTGGCCGCTTGGACTGCTGCCACAGCCGCCATTTATAGTGCCGGTGAGTTTGTAGGGTAGTTTTAAATGTTAATGTGCTAAAGTCGTCGCGGCCTAAAGGATAAGACGTCCGGTGCATTCGTATCGAGCGATGCGCCAGTGTTCGAATCCCGCAGGCGGGTACCAATTTTTCTAATGAAATACGTACTTAAGAAATGTTCACGATTGACTTCCACGGTGAAGGAATAACATCGTGTAATATAAATCAAACCCGCAAAATTATAATTTGCGTATTTACTGGTTGTAGAACGTCTTATGAGTCCGCACGGGTAGGTACGACGACCCTGCCTATTTATGTCGTGAAGAAGTAATGCGTTTCGCTTGGAATGGTGGGACAGCCATTGTAACTACACTGAGACCTTAGAACTCATATCTCAAGGTGGGTAGCGACATTTATGTTATAGATACCTATGGGCTTCCGTAACCACTTAACACCAGGTGGGCTGTGAGCTCATCCACCCATCTAAGCCATAAAAAAAAGTCAAAATGTACGTCCAAAACAATTCGGATGTTTTCTTGAAGGCATGGTGGCGCTGATGTTCGTGAGTTGCCCAGAGAAGAGTTACCGGTACCTGAGCGCGACTTCCGACAGCGCCCTGCCCTGCAGCATGGCGTGTCACTGCGATAACGCCTCCTTCAGCCCCGTCTGTGGACAGGTAATCAATAATAGTTTATCTGCTGTCGGTACTAAGGATACATGCCGGTGGACTTTTTGGCGGGAACGCGAGGAGTGAAGTTGTGTGATTTGTTTTATTTTGTCTATTTCGTGTTGCTTCGGGTTTAAATGTGTAATAATGGTGGTTTATTAACTGTTTAATATCTGTGAAAGTGCACAAATGTGGGAAAATTAAACAAAGCCGCTGGACGTAACTTCTCGGGATCCTCCAAAAAGTCCACTGAAAAAATCTTGGTAAATGACCACCATTTTACTGAGATTATATTTCATCCCATATCATCTCATTTCATTTCATTTAATTTCATCCCAGTTGATTAATGTCCCAAAAATAATCATCTTCATTTCATTTCACTCCATAATATCACTTTTCATAAAAAGATGACTATAAATTAAAATAAGACATGACTTAAAGGTCTCAGTTACCAGGTCATAAAATCCCTTAAAAAAATATATGCCGATTTCTATAGCAAAAAAAAAGAATCGCGCTTTACGATTTAAAATATGATTTGGTCATATCTAAATGAGACGCCGATGTTAACTGACGATACTCCGGTCATCGTTTATCGTGTAAGAGGGGAGTGAGCGAATAAATGGTATATTGTGCACGGAATGTTGACAAGCGAAAATAATCCTAAAAACTATGGAGCTTTAGGTTTTGTGTATTTTTTTTAAATTTAAAATTACTTCTATTTAACCTTACCTTAATTTAAACTTACCTTTTTATGTGAATGGTATTTTTTTCTTTACACCCGAAAGTAATATCCGAAATTTTATTGCCAAAGAAACCATTTTATGTATGTTTTTTTTTTCGAATAAAATTGAGGAACTAATCCTGTTTTCCGTGTATACAGGAGGTCGACACTGACATGAAAGCCGGTATATTGTGACCGTATGAATTATTAATGTTTTTTTAAAATTTAATTTTCAGGATTCTTACACGTATCTCTCGCCCTGCCAGGCCGGCTGCATGGGAAGCATGCAGCTCGACAACAATACATTCTTGTATTATAATTGTTCGTGTATCAACGGAAGTGCGACAACCGATCTGTTAGTATCGAAGTTTTATTACGTTATTTTTTATTTGTTAGATGGGTGGACGAGAGTGGTTATTGGAGCCCGTAGACATCAACAACGTAAATGCGCCACCCACCTTGAGATGTAAGTTCTAAGGTCTCAGTATAGTTACAACGGCTGCCCCCCCCCCCCCTCCCTTCAAACCGAAACGCATTACTGCTTCACGGCAGATATAGGCAGGGTTGTGGTACCTACCCGTGCGGACTCACAAGAGGTCCTACCACCAGTAAAGTACTTTTCGAAAGCAGCGTGACGTCATTAGTGGGGATATTAGAATCGTTTGCTTACTGGAACTAGAGGCCTCCGCGGCCTAATGAATAAGACGCAAGGTGTACTCGTAGTATCTACTAATAGTTTACTTGGTGGTTTCTTTAATCGCTTAGGATAATCAGTAAAATAATCATTACTCTTACACAAACATAACAAAATCGAATAAGCTATTGTGGCTTAATAGATAAGATGGTGTACTCCTATAGAGAGATGCGACTGTGCCAGAGTTCGAATCCCACAGATAAGTAAAAAAAACTCCACGCAAAATGTGTATTTAATTNTATCTACTAATAGTTTACTTGGTGGTTTCTTTAATCGCTTAGGATAATCAGTAAAATAATCATTACTCTTACACAAACATAACAAAATCGAATAAGCTATTGTGGCTTAATAGATAAGATGGTGTACTCCTATAGAGAGATGCGACTGTGCCAGAGTTCGAATCCCACAGATAAGTAAAAAAAACTCCACGCAAAATGTGTATTTAATTTATGTTCACGAATGAATTCTGTCACGAACGAATTACTATACAATAAAAATTTGTTACGATTTTTTTTTGTGTAATCATTGTTTAAGTACGTTAGAGAACGTACAGTAAGCCTGCACAGGTAGGTACCACTATCCTGGTATTCTATACTGAATTCTGCCACAAAACTGTCATATGTTCTGTTTTAAAAGATGCCTTAGCCATTACACTCTACCAATGAAAATTTGACTTTATATCTCAAGGTGGACGAGAGAATTTACATCGTAATATCTATGGGTTTCAGCGACTGCTCAATAATGCTTAATGCCTCCTTCATTCGTCTTAGTAATAAATAAACATAACACGCTTAGTATAACAAAGTAAATCTAAAGTTCCTAGTGAAAAAAAACCCAAGTTGATAATTATTGTGTATCAGCGCCATCTGTGTTTGTTTCCGCGTACTATGGCAATACAGGGTGTGCGTTTTGTTTTGCAGGGGGAAGCTGTACGATCTGCACAACAGAACGTTCCAGGAGCTGGCGGCGCCCGAGGGGTACGCGGTGAGCGGGGAGTGCGGGGTGCCGTGCTCGCAGATCTACGTGTTCATCGCCATCTTCGCGGCCATCATGTTCGTGCACGCCAGCGGGGAGGTCGGCGCCGTGCTGCTCATCATCCGCTGTACCGACAAGCACGGTCAGTACTCCTGCAGCCCACAGACACAGCCCACTGAGTTTCTCGTCGGATCTTCTCTGTGGGTCGCGTTTCCGATCCGGTGGTAGATTCTGCGAAGCACTGCTGTTGCTAGGGTTCGTGTCAGCAACGTCGTCAGGTTTGAGCCCTGTGAACTCACCTACACACGTTAGGGCGAAGCTGACATAGCCCCTCAAAGCTATCAGCATATGTAGGAAAAAAAAAACTGGTTTTAAAACCTGGTAGCGTAAATACGCCTCATCTTTACTCAGTCAAGCTCCACGGTTGTTATTAATCGATACGATTCCGTTTGGTTGGTACATAACCAGGTGTGTGTGGTGTTCCAGACAAGGCGATGGCGATGGGCGTGATCCAGTTCGCCATCGGCGTGTTCGGCAACGTGCCGTGCCCCATCGTGTTCGGCGCGGCCGTGGACGCCGCGTGCCGCCTGCGGGACTACGCGTGCGGCGAGCTCGGCGCCTGCGTCTTCTACGACACGCACTCCTTCAGATACTTCTACCTGGGTCAGCATAACTCTTGTGTTCTAGATTATTATATATCTTACTGGTGGTAGGACCTCTTGTGAGTCCGCACGGGTAGGTACCACTACCCCGCCTATTTCTGCTGTGGAACAGTAATTCGGTTTGAAGGGGGCGGTGGTGTTCACACAACACTAACTCTTCAAACCAATAGGATGGGTGGTTCTTCGATTCATTTACTGAATAAAAAATATTATTATAGGAAATCTTCTTTTTCTTTTTCTCCACCTTATCCCACTAGGTGGGGTTCTCTCTCTTTTATCAGCCATCATCTCAACATTTACTCTCTCTCATATCGTTATTCACACACACACCATCCACGTCTTCTTTGGTCGACCTCTTCTCCCTTTACCTTGCACTACCATTTCCATACATCTCCTAGTCACATGCATCTTCTCTCTACGCATCACATGTCCATACCACGCTAACCGTCCGCTCTTTAATTTGTTGCTTACCGGGGCTACTTTCACACTTCCTCTGATATGCTCATTCTTCAGTTTGTCCATTCTTGTCGCTCAACACATCCATCTCAACATTCGCATCTCTGCCGCATGCACACTATTATTATAGGAAATGTCGGTTTGAAAAGTATTTCATCAACAGGCCTCTCGGCAGCGATCATGTTCCTCGCCTTCATAATGGACCTGCTGGTGTGGAGTAAGGCGGGGCGGATCGACATGAACCCCAGCGAGGCGGGCGGGCCCCCCCTCCCCACGCTGGCGGCCTCACCCCCCGCGCCGCCCTCGCCGGACCACGTGCTGCTCGCAGCGCCCACCGACACGCAGCTGTGACGTCACTGTTCATACGAGTCGCACTTCTAGTGGTGGCCGTATCGATAACGTATGTTTTATGATACTTTCTACTTTCAACTAGTGTTGAGCGAAATCGGTCACGTCGACATAGCATTGTCCCGCGGCTCCCTCCCCGAACCAAGTAGCTGTATGACGCGCATCTGTGACGTCACTGCTTGTAAGCATTTCATCTCTAGGGGTAACACCTTATCATTTATATTGTTGGTTATCTATATCCTATTAGTGCATTATTTGAACAAATATACCTTATTATACACAATATTAATATGATTTTTAAAATAATTAATCGATATTATTTGTTAATTTTAAAGGTTTTATTCATCATTTTTGTTAAACAGAATCGACAAAATTTGCCTTCAAAATTTTGCGTCACCTAGATATTTAGATAAGATTAAGGATATAGAAACCAATAAAAATCGATATCCAATGTTTCGGTACGTTTCCGCTTCTCATGTTTTACATTGTCTTTGTCGATAACTCGTTACTAAAACAAACGGCTAGCAAGAATAGCTTAGAAAGTACAATAATATTATTTATATCCCAAAACCATGATGCGATATTCGAAATGAACGACCAAACTCTATAACAATATATATTGTATAATTTAATATCGATATTTTTATCGATTCATTATTCGCCTATAGTAAAATATTTAATCGATATGTGCTGTATGTACTGCTCAATATAACACGCATAATAATAATGAATTTAGATACATTTTTTTAATGTATAGAAGTATATACTTTTAAATAAAATACTAAGTAATATAAATTTTAAATATACATAGGTTATATTATTATGGTTTGTGTGACTACGAAGTATCGATAATGTGCTACTTTTAAATATCGATAATCTTAAAAGCAAAATTAAACTCAATTAGGAAAATTTTTCGAGAGTAGCATCATAAATATTTTAATGGAAACGATTTATTCGATCTAATTTTTTTTTGTTGTTTAATAAGATTCGCTTTAAAACGAAATCATCACGATACCTATTATTATTAGGGTAATAATGGTTTTTGCTGTTATTCAATTGTGGTTTTTACATATTTCGTAGTGAAAAATTTTACTCTGGGACTGAGTTGTTTTGTTTTTAATGTTAGTTTTATATTGTGTTTCAATGTCAAACCTCATTATAGGAACAAATATTTCATCGCGCTTATTCGGTACACTGACCGACGTATTAAATGTCGTCCTTATAACAACATCAAAAACGTTAATCTACAAAATTTCATTAGAAATTGTCGTTAGCGCGATTCAGATTTTAACCAAATTCCAAATAAGGAGATGAAAAAAAAATTTTTTTTTCTCGATAAACTTACTTACCACTCTAAACATCTGAAACTTAACAGTGTCTTTCTGAATGCCCCGTTTTTGAATATGAAAACAATTTTTGAAGGATTTTTACGCAATAACATTTACTATTGTAAGCAATGTCTGTCCTAATAGAGTTAAGTTTATTGAGAGACATAAATATACATAACCTTAAACGTAGTGTTACACTGAATCGAGATATCGAAAGTCGTTCAACACGAACAAATCCAAAGAAAATATTTATAGTTTGTGATAATTTAATACATATAAATACTGTAGAAAAAGCGACAAATACACGAATTTATTTCTAAAGTGATAAAAGCAAAAGTAGATTTCGTAACAAGATACTACTAAACAATACAAGTACTATCATATTTTTATTGGTGGTAGGACCTTTTGTGAGTCCGCGCGGGTAGGTACCACCACCCTGCCTATTTCTGCCGTGAAGCAGTAATGCGTTTCGGTTTGAAGGGTGGGGCAGCCGTGGGGCATACGTGAGACCTTAGAACTTATATCTCAAGGTGGGTGGCGCATTTACGTTGTGGATGTCATGGGCTCCAGTAACCACTTAACACCAGGTGGTCTGTGAGCTCGTCCACCCATCTAAGCAATAAAAAAAATATCAGTTTTGTTGAATACATAACAATGTTTATGAAATTTATAAAATAACTTCTTATAAGGCCAAACGAAATAGCTCAAAATTATATTTATATAGTAAATGGCATATACGGTGGTCGCGTTTGTTTATTTGCTTCTAAAATAATTACCCGTGATAAATACATAGTAGTTGATCCTGGTCGTAACCAAACCTAAAACTAGATGATTTCCTTAATTGCTTTTTATCTGGGCCTATAGTGAAACAGTTCAGATGTCTCTATAAAAAAACTATTAATGTTCGTTAAATGATAAAAATGTTGACACATCGATATCAGCCATAGAGATGTCCGTAATTTCTTTTCAGTGTAACAACTACTCTATTCTACTTCTATTATTGCGAATTACATGGCTAGTGATTAGACGTTTATTGTTAGTTATTAGTAATTTTTTTTTTACAAATTTATTATACGAAATAATAATTACTATTATTCAATGTAAATAATATTATAATGTTACGAAAATATATATATTTAAGTAAAACACTATAATCACATTTTAATGTTACGTTTTAGCTTTTTTATTTAGGGTTTTTATTTTTAATTTTAATGTTATTATAATACCACTGTCGTTTTATTTAGTTGATCATTTTAAGTGAAACGAATACAAGGCTGGGCCATGTGTAAAAGTTTTAGTTAGCTTATTTAGAGCTTTTATATTGAGTTTATCGATAAAATTAGAAAACATTATTTTAAATATGCCTCATTTACATTTTTGTTAAGTTTTAGTATTAGTAATTGAATTTGAATGATGGTAGGACGTCTTGTGAGTCTGCTCGAATAGGTACCACCACCATTTCTATTTTCTGCCGTCAAGCAGTAATGCGTTGCAGTTAGAGAGGTGAGGTAGACGTTGTAATGTAAAAATTGAGATTTAGAATTCATGTCTCAAGTTGGGTGGCGGCATTCATGTTGTTGATGTCTATAGACCACAGTAACCACTCAACACTAAGTGGACCGTGAGCTCGTTCATCCATTTAAGCAATAAAAAAATCAATATAAATAAAACACATTCTAAGTTTTAATTATTCGTCATTATCTAATTGAAACTATTTAACACTAATGTCACTGTAAGAACTTGTCAGTTGTGAAATATTTCACACATACCTGTTTTTGAAATAGAGTGAAACAAAATTCCTTTTATTTCATTATTACGTCGTTTTTTTGTGTCACAGTAAGAAATACACGTCAGTTTTTAATTGTCGAACCGCATTTTCACATTTCACAAGGTATAAAAACCCAATGGTAACAAAAAAATTTTTCCTTAAAATAATGTAAACGAGTCATAATATTCGAAGCATCACACATAAACACGATATCTGTGATGTTATGTTATTTGTGTGTGTGTGGTTTTACTTTAAATATGTAGGTAAATAAAATATGCAAGAAAATATTATTATAAATATATTATTTCAATTGTATGTTAGATTTTTATTTTGTAATCGCCATTTATATAAAATGGCGTCAGAATATTCGTATAGTATAAAGTGTTATACACAATTATGTATACATGAATTATATTTAAAAATAATATGCTAAATTGTACAATTTACGCAGCTTGACCCAAAAAATATTTAGCGACCTATTTGGCACTTTATGTCTGTGACGGACTATGAGGTTTTAAAAAAAATAAAATAAAAAAACATGTTTTATACATAGACATGGAAATTATATTATGTTAAAAATAATGTCGATTTGAATTTGGATATGTTTTTTTTTGAAATGGTTTACTCAATATTTAAACAAATAAGGCCAGTTATACACTTTGAAGTAACATAGTATGTTGAATTTATATGTTTACATGTTTTATACATAGTTATGACCGCAATATTAAAAAGTATATATACGTTCCTTAATTTCGTAAACAGTGCATTATATTGGAGTGCAATTATTTTGTTTAGAAAAAATATATCTTAGCGTAAACGTCTCGGGAGCGATCATGTTTATAATCGCCATGTTTTATTAGAATTAGAATAACCAATATTGATGATTTTATAATTTATCTGTGCTCTTTTTAATTATCAACATTGCAATATTGTTTAATAATGATCTATGGATTTATATAAGATAATGATATTAAGTATTGAGGATGTTTATTGTCTTTATTTTTGTTGTAACATTATCTTAAATTGTCCCGTTGTCTTTAATATAAAAAATACATTTTATACAGGTATAAATTAGAACAATTTCAGCGTGTTTAATAATAATTAATGATTATTTGTTGTATTCGTGTATACATTTTAGTTAAATAATTATTTGAACAGTATATATAACATTTATGCTATGTTGTTGTTTAAAAGTATCTTTATATATATATATTTAATTTTTAAATGATTGTTTCACTTCACAATATGGCAGCTTAGAATTTTACTAGTCTACGTTATAGTTTATAGTTTAATAATACCTCTGGAATTTAGGAATAATAATAATAAAACAATAATAATGAAACTTCAATGTTATTTGAATAAATTTTTACAATCTTTCTATGGTTTTTTTTTATTGACTTATTTTTATGAGTAAAATAAAAACTCACTGAGTTTCTCGCCGGGTCTTCTCAGTGGGTGGCGATTTCGATCCGGTGGTAAATTCTGCGAAGCACGGCCTTTGCTAGGGCTAGTTTGAGCAATTTATCTCAGGCTGAGTCCCGTGAGGTCATCTACCGCCGCGTAAATGGAATAGCCCCTTAGGCTACCGACGAATAAGTAGGGTTTTTTTTTATTGAAATCTATACTAATATATAAATCTACAGTGATTTGACGGATGTTCCGTTAAACTACTGAACCGTGAATCCGATTGACTTGAAACCTGGTATCCATGTAGAAAATGCATGTACTTAACGGATAGGCTAATATTTATAAGAGTGTTGGACTCCCTACACCAGTTGCGGGGGCGTTAATTATGAGAATCTTTGTGGGGGTGAGAAATAATAATGTTAATTTTAAATGTCCAGCGAAGCGAACGGGTACAGCTAGTTAAATATAAGAGTTTGACAACATATCCTGTATCCTAATTCAGTTTTGGATCCCCAATAAAATAATTTAAACAGTTGCAGCTTAATCTCGGATACCGTGGTCCGTAGGTCATGTAAACCAAAGTATTGGTTACATAGAAAATTGTCAAGTGTTATAATAAGATTAAATAGATTTACCTAGATAAAATATTTTTCTTTCGGACACGATTTTAACGGATTTTTTTTGCTACATTGTTTTTAGTACGATTACTACGGGAACCAAAAGATTTTTTCCGGTGACAACCGAGGAACTTACATTATATGTACCTAATAATTAACAGAATAAGACTTTTAAAAAATTGCATTTGATAAATTTTATTTACTTTGTGTACTGTATGTACTTGTGTATGTATGTATCTGTATATGTGATTGTGTATATATATTCTTTTTTGTGTATGTATTTGTAACTTAATATAAATTTCATTGCACCTACCACTATTTATTCTGCACTACCTATGGTTGACTGGTAGAGAATGCCTTAGGCATTAAGTCCGCCAATGTAAATTTTACATGAAGTGTAATAAATATAAATAAATAATGCTATCACAACAATTCGGTAATTGATCTTCACTCCATTTTAGTATCACAAGAATATTTAACAGAGATTGTCGCAAAATGAGAAAGGTTTAAAGGTATTTTTATATGACATAGGTCGAAGTAGGTTAAAATAAAAAAATTGCATTTATTATTTTGTCAATGAAAAACATTTTAGAAAAAATATTAGTTTTTATCAAGACTGAATTTTCCTAACGACGTAGGTTTGGATTGTTTTCAAAACATTGTATTGAAAGTACAAACATTAAAATATATAATATATTCAATACTACGGAAATAACTACTGCTCTCACACTAGTGTATATTCAGTGCCCTGAAATTGCAATACTTTAAGACAAATATTTTTTTCTGTATGGAAACTAGCGACATCTTGTAGCGGATGCCCCTAAACTTTTATGTTGTTGGAGTTGAGGTATTTAATTATTGTATAACTAAACACAGAAAATAAAAATAATAATAAATCATACAATTCTTTATTTGTTATAGACAAATTGATTAATTTTTATTAATTTGTGGTTTCTGAAAATTTACAAAATCCTTCATTATAAATAAAATATAGGATAGGTAATATGTAACATGCCACCTACATGAGAAATGAAGCCATCTAGTGGCCGACGCCCGTAAACATTTTTGTTGAATGCTTGAATTGCTTATTTATAACAAATTTATGTGTATTATCTATGGTATATTATCACTGGGTGTTTGTTTGGATTTTTATTAAAAACATGTACTTAAATGTTATTTACTTCTGATCTCTTACTGATTCAATTTTTTTTTACATTCACTAAGTACATCCAATAAATGATTTAGGATTAGAAGTTGGAGGTATTTCATTTCTCAATTCAATTTCAATTCCACGAAATCCCGAAATCTGATAAAATTATTTGTAATCTATGTTATTATTGCTTCTTGATAAATTCAAACAGAATTTTTATTTATTTGTGATTACAAAAAAATTTGATTCAATTACAAAAAATTTTGTGATTACAAATAAATTCACTGAAATATCTCAAACGTATGTATTGCTATTTTTGCTAGTCAGAGAATGATAAGACTAAAAAACGATTCAGTGAATTACATCATGACGGATATGAAAGGACAAGTTTGTACGCTGTTGACCATAAGTATTCATATTATTCCAATTTTAAACACAATGTGTAATTATTATTTTTTATTACATAAAATTATATTCATTTAATGGCTTTATTACGTGATTACCTAGAGGATGTTAATTGTTCACCTTTGCTCATGGACAATATGAATTTAAGCAAGGGCGCAACAAAGCCGCTGCCTACTGCTTAGGAATCTGTTTTTAAACTTTGTTTGAAAAAGGACATGATCTCAGTAAACACTGTAGAGGGTAATTACAGAGCTCGATTGTTCACGGTGGTATCATCATTGACCCATCATTAACATCTTCGGCTACAGAGTTTCACATATCACCTAAGAGCGGGAGCCTCGTGCAAGGTTCGGCAAACCCGAAAAAAATTTGTCATCATGATCTGCTTAGAACTTTACCCGAAGTTCCTCCGAGTTTTCAATCTATACCCAAGCTCAAGATTATCTACAACCCTAAAGGCAAGAGAGATGGGAGCAATTGTCCAAGTTAAAACCGTGCTCTGTAAAGCCAAGACAAAGGCAAAGACTTTTTGTCTAAGCATGAAAGACCCGTATTTGCCCTATTCCGGCGAAACTAAGGATATTTTTTGTAATAGTATCATAATTATCAATAACTTGTATTATTTCACAGCTGAATTCATATCTTAGGATAAAAGGCAAAACGCGATTTGACACTCCCTATGTTACATCACACTTGTTTATTAGATTTATGATGCCTTTGATTTCACAAGTTTCTTTTTTAAGATTTTCCTTTAAATCATTTTTGGCTATATTTCCCGGTACATAGGCGAGGGAACAACCGATGTTAGTTTGATTTGTATGTAGAATTCCACAAAAAGATTAAAAAACCTAGTTGTTTCCTCGTTTTTCTGTTCCTCCCGTCGGTGACAATAGAGAATCATCGGATGCGCGTATAAACACCATGATCGAGCATTTCGTACCGTGATCCGGATCGGTATATAATGACGGGACAGGGTGCTCTGGTCACAGTCATCAAGAAAGCATCAGCATGGTCAGAATAGCTTTTATAGTTTTAGCATTGGCGGTTTTCTCCTTTGCTGCACCAGGTATGAGACAAGTTTTGATTTCTACATGTCTTTTGTTAATATTCTCGCGAGCAGTTGTTTTTAATGTTGATCGGTTTTTATTCATGCCAGTTTTAAATATTATTTAAATGATGATTTGTAAATATGTTTATCTCTAGTTCCACTGTTCTAAATATGTGTCAGTAAATATTCGCCTAAGGTGTGAGCGTTATCATATGTCCGAAATTAGAATTTTGTGAAAACTTCAGCTGCAGTCGATAACGTTTCTATGCAAATAACATCGATAATTTTCTTAAGTGCCTTAGAAGCCGTCAAAATCAGCTGGTATGTCATTGTGATGAAGGCAACAAAAAAGAGCCTAAAAATTGTGGAAACATTAGTTCCCGACCTTGTAACTGTTGATACAATAATGCGATTACCATTCTTATAAAGGGCGGGAATTACTAAATATCATTACATAAAATATGTTTCCTGACCTCATTTAAACCCACAGCGTGCGTAAATTGATGAAATCGATAATAAGCCCCAGTTCCGACTCCTAAGTGCATTAATATTTATTTCTTTTAAAATGATACCGTCGTCTCAACTATGTATGATGAAATATTAACTCAATCTTAGCTACGTGATGCCGATGATATTACGATTACGTTAAACCTGAACGTAGAAAAACACACAAAAAGAAATTCATCGAAAGTTACACCCTGTATTTTGTTATCAGGAGAAAGAATAAGAAGATTCGAACACGATCCAAGTTTAGGTGGCTATGGGAATTACGGTGGCTACGGACACGTTCCGGGCCACGGATACGGACCGGTGTTGCCGCTGAACTCACATTCGTACTCAAAATCCTCAGCAAGCGCGAGCTCCGTATCTAGCGGAGGAAATATCGCTGGATGAGAGGAAATGGAATGTAAGTTGAAAAAAATATTGAACGGTCGAAGGACCACTTGAACAGTCAATAATTGTCGCCTGGTTCGTGTCCGTTTTTTAGGAAGTCAAAAAAAATACTGCCTGCCGCTGGTCACGTACGCCCTCGTTCCATTTTTTTTTATTGCTTAGATGGGTGGACGAACTCACAGTCCACCTGGTGTTAAGTGGTTACTGGAGCCCACAGACATCTACAACGTAAATGCCCCACCCATCTTGAAACCTTCTAAGATCTCAGTATAGTTACAACGGCTGCCCCACCCTTCAAACCGAAACGCATTACTGCTTCACGGCAGAAATAGGCAGGGCGGTGGTACCTACCCGTGCGGACTCACAAGAGGTCCTACCACACCTCTCTCTTCACACCTTCTCTCTTTATTTTTGAATTCTTTTCAAGTGTTTGTCTTAGTCTGTATCTATGTCTAGTCGTTGTAGATCTTATGTCCTGTCAAAGAGGTTGCACGCGACGACAAATATAATGTCTGCCCATTTACTCCTAAAACTATTTTAATAAGTCATTCATTATTTCTTTCACTGAAATGAAAACGTTAACAACTGTTTTTTCATTGACGTTACAAATTATTCTCCGGTTCTTTTTCTGAGGTGATTTAATGTAAGTATAGTACCACCCGCCAGGATTTGGCTTATAAGAGAATCCCACCCAATACTAAATGCCTTAGGTATAGACGAAGGTTAATATTTCATCACTATTCATCACTAATTTTCATCACTAATTTTCATCACTGGTGGTAGGACCTCTTGTGAGTTCGCACGGGTAGGTACCACCACCCTGCCTATTTCTGCCGTGAAGCAGTAATGCGTTTCGGTTCGAAGGGTGGGGTAGCCGTTGTAACTATACTGGGGCCTTAGAACTTATATCTCAAGGTGGGTGGCGCGTTTACGTTGTAGATGTCTATGGGCTCCAGTAACCACTTAACACCAGGTGGGCTGTGAGCTCGTCCACCAATCTAAGCACTAAAAATTTTTTTTTGTTCAACCATATTTAATTCGTTTGTAACCGTTTCGACTACTTTACTGCTTGTTTCGTGCTGATTTTACGAGCGAAATTGCTCAATTTTTATCTAAGAGAAGTATGCGAGTGTGGTTAAGGTATCAAGCGAACTTTATGAAATAGAATATAATTTCTCCATCGATTCTATCTTCTCGAGTGTACGGTAGATTCAAAAGGTTTTATATGCCCGTTTCTTCGAGCCACATGAAGGCTCATAGATTGTGTCATTACACCGACAACTGAAGTAGAAGGCGCTTGTTAAATATTTAGCTACATCTAGGCTGTCTATAATCGAATACCACGACAAGGCAGAAAGACCGTAGGAATCGTTATAATAAAAAATAGTAATACAATTACTAAATTTTACTGGTGGTAGGACCTCTTGTGAGTCCGCACGGGTAGGTACCACCGCCCCGCCTATTTCTGCCGTGAAGCAGTAATGCGTTTCGGTTTGAAGGGTGGGGCAGCCGTTGTGACTATACTGAGACTTTAGAACTATATCTCAAGGTGTGTGGCGCATTTACGTTGTAGATGTCTATGGGCTCCAGTAACCACTTTAACACCAGGTGGGCTAGGAACTAGTCCACACATCTAAGCAATAAAAAATAAATAAAAAAAACAATTGCAAATTTTATGAGTCTCGACTTTATTAAAAAAGTATAGTTTATAGACAAACATATATGAGGTTGTTGATTTCCTTCTGCTGGTTTGAGAAATGATTAAGATATATGTACACTTTATTTATATTCATTTAATATTTTCAGAAAAATCAACAAAGATGACAACGGATAATGACCACAAGTTAATCACGAAGATATTGTATATTATTTAATCTACTACTTAAANAGTCTCGACTTTATTAAAAAAGTATAGTTTATAGACAAACATATATGAGGTTGTTGATTTCCTTCTGCTGGTTTGAGAAATGATTAAGATATATGTACACTTTATTTATATTCATTTAATATTTTCAGAAAAATCAACAAAGATGACAACGGATAATGACCACAAGTTAATCACGAAGATATTGTATATTATTTAATCTGCTACTTAAATCTACAAATGGTAATGACACTGTAATTTTAATGTTTCAATTAATAATTTCATATATAAAGCAATTAACATTAGATGATTATGAGGGAAATTGTAATGATTATTTCATAATAAAATGATTGTAATTTTTCAAATTATTTCGTATTATTTAGATAGATAGATGAAAAGATACTGTTTACTTTGGGCGAAAACATACTTTCTATTTCTGGTAAAATAAAAAATAAATTCATAATTTTGTTCAATGTCCTAACTTCGGTCCTTCGGTAAATACTTAATCCGACAATAGTACTATCGGAAACTGTTTTTATACTACATAGTATTCCCGTTATTGAAGCATGAGTGTAATAAAAATAGAACTTTAAAAAATTTTCTTGGACAGTAAACTTAATGAACTGCTTTCACACCTTTTCTTCGGATATCTTTGTCATTTAATATATTTACAATATACTAAGAGATTATTAATATATTTATAAATAAAGCACCTATTGGCGAGTGATATATGAGATCAAAGTCTATAGAGTACTGTAAAACTTTTCAACGCGAATTATTAAATATAGGTATATTGCATTCTAACACATTACTATCACTATTCATTTTGAGATTTTGTCTACTCAAACAGTAGGTAGCTAACTATTTTGAAATAGATTGACTCAACCTGAATCTGAATCCATGACTATCATTATTCATCATTACAATGCACTATTTGTGTATTTGAGTGGGTTTCTGGATGACTTAGATCCACAATGATACCTGATAAGTCACATTGTATTCTTAATTCATCTCTAAGTTACTTTTTATTTTTAATATTGCCAATAATATGTTGGATGTTCTCACAACGGCGAACCATCAAGTTTTGTTCATTTAGACACAAAAAAACTTTGTTCATAAACTCCATGAAGATAAACAGAAATAAAGTCTATTGACTTAGTCCGTTTGTGAAGCTAAAGTATCATTGAACGCTGTAGATGGCTCTGTGATTAGATTAAATATTTTTGTCTGCTGAGTTCTCTAGTTTTTTTTTAATTTTTAAAATGAAGAAATTAGATATTAAGAACTATAGATATATAATAAATAGTTTAGAGAAGTAGGTAAACTGGTCAGACCATAGAAATACTTTACACTATTTAATGTATAATAAAATAATAACAATATACCTAGTCAGGTCATAAATTCTGTCACATGTTTAATGTAAAATAATTGAAACAAGTTTATTCATTATGTAACCATTCATATACCAAAATGAACTTAACAAAACATAGATTCTTATGACACTAAAGTTTATACAAAATGACCTCCGTGATTTTGAATACAGGCCTTTAATCTGCGCGGCCAGTCGTCTATCGCAGCACGAACGAGGTCCATGTCAATATCGGCGGCTGCCTTAATCAAGGATGTCTTGAGTGACTCCAAATTGGGATGAGGCTTTGAGCACGCCTTTTCCTCCAAGTGTTGCCATATCTTGTAATCTAACGGATTCAAATCTGGANACTTAGAAATAAAACCTAAATGGGGCGACTTATCAGTTTATATAATTAAATACGTTTGAATTTGTATAGTATTGATTGATTTATAACTACGAATAAATAATAAGATTTAGTAGTAGATTTATAAATCCACGAGAATAAAACACAAATTCTTATATATTCAAATGTTTTTATTCAGCGTCGACAAAATGAAAATTTCATCAGGCAGGAACATTATTGCCCTTATGGTCCGAGTTGTAAGAAGTAGCGGACGCGGAGGCGGAGGCGGTAGCTTTGGAGAACGAGCGCCCACCACGACGATTTTCATTTGACCCGTACCCTTGTCTGTTGTAGGCTAATTCACGACTGCCGCTTTCGCTGTAAGACATTATATTTATTTAGACGTTAGATATTTTGACAGCAGGTAACGCGAAAATACGTCATGTTATGTCTATGTTAAAAATCTGAAAATTATATTATCTTGTTCTTTACGGGTGGGACAAATATTGCCCGAGACTTCTCAAAATTATTCGGGGTCAATAATATGGAAGTAAACGTGAGAGTTGCGTAGTTTCGAAGCTCCGGGATCCAAAATTTCCGCATAATACAATCTCGAAATTATTCACCATTCGCAAGTCGTCATGGCCTAAAGGATAAGACGTCCGGTGCATTCGTATTTAGCGATGCACCGGTGTTCGAATTCGGCAAACAAGTACCAATTTTTCTAATGAAGTATGCTCTTATAAAATCTTCACGATTGACTTTCACGGCGAAGAAATAAAAATGAAACCCGCAAAGTTTTAATTTGTGTATTTACTGGTAGGTACCATCACCCTGGCTACTTCTGCCGTAAAGCAGTAATGAGTTTCGGTTTGAAGGATGGGGTAGCCGTTGCACTGAAAAAACTGAGATCTAAAAACTCATATCTCCAGGTAGGTGGCGGCATTTACGTGGTGGATGTCCCACCCACCTAAGCAATATAAAAAAAAAGTGCGTGTGTACAAAGTACACATGTCAGAAGTGAAACTTTTTCGGCGAACTAATTTATAAGTCTTGCTTATATTTATACAAATCTAAAACTTTAGATTTCCGAGACTTAGAGGAAGGGAAAAAAGAAGATATGTTCCCGCCAAAAGTCTGTCAAATGTCAATCTCAAACCTCAATGTTGACAGTCACATTATATTTAGATTTCTGAATTGTAAATGACTAATATTTTGCCAATTGAATTGACTAATTTAATTTCATGCTATTTGATTAATGTTCCAAATTCTTTTCATTTCATTTCAATTCCTAATAACATTTTTCACAAAAAAAAAAAAATATTAGACTGTATGGTATGATACTTTTCCTTTCCAGTTAGAAAAATACAACAACTACTACTACTGACATTTGACAAGTACTTAATTTCAATAGTAGTTTGATGTCACTTCCGATGCATACCTGCGTGACGTTCTGTAAAAATTTTACCCTCATGCGCCTAAAGAAGTTTCGCTTCAAAAAGTGTCACATACTTAAATCCTTTTTCTTCTTCATCCCCGCAGTCGTTGTTGTTCTCTATGCTGACGCTAGCGTCGCGCTCATTGCTCTCACGTCCGTACCCGCTCCCGCCACCTCTGCTGTACCCGCTGTTGTTGAAACCTCGTCTGATTCGCATCCCTGAAAAGATTTATTTGTCTTCAACGGTGCCTTTAGGTACCCCAAGCACCGGTTACCGTCGTCGCCGAGCCCGTCACTTGCGATGAAGGGCTCGACGAGTAAATTAACTCATAGACACAGCCCACTGAGTTTCTCGCCGGATCTTCTCAGTAGGTCGCGTTTCCGATGCGGTGGTAGATTCTGCGAAGCACTGCTCTTGCTAGGGCCAGTGTTAGCAACACTCCCGGTTTGAGCCCCGTGAGCTCACCTACTCGCCCGGCTACGCTGACATAAGTCAAGTCTTTCTCTCAAGTCTATCAGCTTAGGTAGGAAAAAAAAGTTGTCTATACGCTGTGGTATATATGACGGATGATTGCCTCACGGTAGAGATAGGTAGGAGGGTTCAATAGGAAAATATCATGTTCAATCAGTATCTCAGTAAACTAGAACAACAGTTTTGCTTCCTCCACGTTCGTTTAGTTTTGAGTCAATAAATTAATAGTTGGTACTGGGTTATGTTAAAAAAAAAAGTCTACAAAACTAAATAAATATAAAATCATACTCACCCGATGCACTTAACGCACTCAGAACGATCGCCAAAAGCAATAGACCGGTTCTCATCGTGTCACACAAATGTTTCCGAAAATCCGCGGTTTTCCTTTTATAGTGAACTGTGACCATGCTTCATGGTGCACAGGATGGATTCATTGGACTCCCAAATTAACGTGACGGACGCACAATGTCCGAGTGTCACGTAACGCCGTGATGGACAGACAAAAGAATAGTTTTACATCATTGCTATAGTCGTAATTTGAACGTCACCGAAGGGACCTTGGGTTTTGATGCACGATTTTTCGTTATTTAGGAGAATTTAATAAGAAAAAGATTACTACCATAACATTATGGTTAACATTTTTTTTTTTTTTATTGCTAAAGTGGTTACCGGAGCTCATAGACATTACACCAATCTGTAGAGATTCAAACCGCTTGCTCAGCGGTGAGTCCCCATGTAACCAAATTCGCATCGCCTTCTCCACTCAAGATTAAGCGATGATAGCTTAAAGTATGCCTTTCTGACTAAGACAAGCTTCCTTGCTTCCCTGAGTAGGAACGGACTCCTTTATTCCTTGGGCCCGCGGTCTGCTCCCAACACCTTGCAGATCGTCAAGTCCCACATACCCTGCACGCCCCCTAGGCGTGGGGATTGTGTAGGAGGTTCGGGCCCCGGCCCGAAAAAAAAATGCCCATTGACATCTACAACGTAAATTCCGCCACCCACCTTGAGACATGAGTACAGTACAAAGTAGGGATGATCGATATTACAAAAACATCAATGTTGATATCGGTGTTAACATATATTCGATAACCGTTAAAAATACGAGTATATTCAGTTGAATTCGTGTTCACCTTGCAAACGACTTTAATGCTTTGTCTTCGATACCGACCGTCGTAATGAGATATCGTAACGGATTGTCCTAAAAATCTGAAATCTTTGCTTCCTAATCAGGGTTCCGTTTCCCAATCAGGGACGTGCAAACGACATTACCTTTTTTTTTTATAGGGTATATTCAAAAAGTAAATGGTTCTAGTGTAGTTTTACATTTACAGGCAAACAGTTCGAACACAAGCGTAATTAAAAATACAAGGTCAAGTCCGAGGCTACTGTCTAATGCATCGGTTTTTTCATCGTGCCTTTTACTTTAATTACATGCACGATCGATTTGTCTCTAAAATCTTAAGTATTTAAACTGAAACATTCCAGCCTAATTTGTATTCGATGAAGAAGAACACACGATGAAACATCTAACGACGATCGCTCTAGTATTTATTGTATTCGTTGTGTGCGTGTCCGCCATGCCGGGTAAAATTTTTTAATACTAACCTTATACTAATATTAAAAATTGATGCCAAGTTCGACGCTCTCATCTGGCGCTAAAATAAGATTCCCTGTACTACAGGAGTCAGAGACTGCAATACTTGTTTAAATAAGTTTATGTATAAATAGATATATGCACCCAGACAAAGAGAAAACAAATGTGTATTGAACACGAACTTTGGCCCGATCGATTCGCACAAATGGACATAGATTCGTGTTATTATTATTCTTCATACAGCCCGGCAATTGTTAACTATTCAGTCAAAACACCTCATTTCGGATCCTCCCGATCCACTAACGGTGCTTTTTGGTACCCCAAGCACCGGTCAATCGTTCTCGTCGAGCCCGTCACTTGCGATGAAGGGCTCGGCGAGTAAATTAACCCACAGACACAGCACACTGAGTTTCTCGCCATAACTTCTCAGCGGGTCGCGTTTCCGATCTGGTGGTAGATTCTGCGAAGCACTGCTCTTGCTAGGGTCCTTGTTAGCAACGTCGTCAGGTTTGAGCCCCGTGAGCTTACCTACTTGTTAGGGTTACGCTGAAATGGCCTCTCAAGGCCATCAGCTTAGTTAGTAAAAAAAATAATCAAATATCTATTCTTACCATGTTTGAGTCGAGTCAAACAGCAATTACAATATTAAGTTATTTAAAATATTTGACTGGTATATTTTGCGACATATATTTGAGTATTGCATTCGTTTGTCTCACGTCTAGTTGAAGTCCCACAGCTGAGAATAAGTTGTAAGTATTCACGGTCACTTAAACGGTATTAAAATATGATGTATACACAAACTTTATTAAATTATGTTTATCTTCTTTGGCTACTAAAATATGGATTGATCAGTTAATAAAACATCAATTTTCAAACGTTTGTGATTTTACAGGCGATGGTGGTAAAGGCGGCAATACTAAAGGTGGAGTCACAGCGGCTGGTAAAGGTGGAGGGGGCGGTGGCAGCAGTAGTAGCAGCTCTAGCAGTAGTGAGAGCGATGAAAGTGGAGATGATGGAGGAAACGGAGGAAAAGGTGGCGGAAAAGGCACTGGCGGAAAAGGCGGAAAAAAGGGCTGGTGACAAGACTTCTGGAGATGATAAACGTAAACAACAATTATGCTTAACAACTGAAATATTTAGTCCAAAGATGTAATAATAATGTTAAGTTTTATTTTGTTAAATTCAAGATCTTAAATATATAATAACAGTAGAATAAACAGCTGTTAGACTTATTCGATTCATTTATAACTTCATTCAGATAACTTTTTACTTTTAAAATTTTAATCTCGTGTTTATTGTGTTCATTATTTCCGTCGTTTATATGTAGTTTTCGTGGTCACTCTTAGTTGTCTAAGGGTTTCAAGTTCGAAGTCAGTCAGTTAAAGAATATTCAATAATATACTGCGTCCTCAGTGGACTTCTTCTTGTGTTATGTTTCCGGCATACATAACACAAGAGAAAACAGCTCGAGGCCGGTCAGTTCGTTTATTTATTTACTTATCTATTTTACTGGTAGTAAGACCTCTTGGGAGTCCGCACTGGTAGGTACCATCACCCTGCGTATTTCTGCCGTGAAGCAGTAACGCGTTTCGGTTTGAAGGGTGGGGCAGCCGTTGTAATTATACTGGGACCTTGACTCAAATCTCAAGGTGGGTGGCCGCATTTACGTTGTAGACGTCTATCAGCTCCGGAAACAACTTAACACCAGGTGGGCTGTGAGCACGTCCACCCATCTATGCTATATAAAAAAAACATAATGAAACTATCGTAGGCCATTAGCGTCGTTTGTGTACAATTAATGCGTAAGTACTGCTTATGACTTTTAGTGATTGATGCAGACCTACCGTACAAAGTATAGTAAAAATCGAAAAGTAGATGGGAAATTATAGGGACCAAAAGTTCAATGCGTTCATCGTTTCTAAGACATGCTGAGTGTAAGGACAACGACAAGACTCAAGTCCTGCGATAGGATACGTTTTTAATAAATACCAACATTGACACGGATAATTTTCGGTCCACTGAGTTTATCGCCGGATCTTCTCAGTGGGTCGCATTTCCGATCCGGTGGTAGTTTAGCGAAGCACTGCTCTTGCTAGGGCCAGTGTTAGCAACACTCCCGGTTTGAGCCCCGTGAGCTCACCTACTCGCCCGGTTACGCTGACATAGCCTCTCAAGGCCATCGGTATAGTTTTTACGGACTATTGCGATTGGGTACTGTAAGGTACGCAATCCCGTCTATTTCTGTTGTGAAGCAGCCACGTTGTCCGGTTTATAGGATGGAACAATGAATTCGAAATACCAAGCCCAAGTCTTAAGAAAATTGTTACCAGTAGCCATAATGTGAATAATGTGAAAACCTTTTTTAAAGTTGTCAAGGACGCCAATCACATTTTAAATTGAATACAATTAAATAATTAAGTTTTTATTTATTTTATTTTTATTGCTTAGATGGGTGAACGAGCTCATAGCCCACCTGGTGTTAAGTGGTTACTGGAGCCCATCTGCAACGTAAATGACCATAAAAAGTTGAGATATAAGTTCTAAGGTCTCAAGTATAGTTACAACGGCTGCCCCACCCTTCAAACCGAAACGCATTACTGCTTCACGGCAGAAATAGGCAGGGTGGTGGTACCTACCCGCGCGGACTCACAAGAGATCCTACCACCAGTAATTACGCAAATTATAATTTTGCGGGTTTCATTTTTATTACACGATGTTATTCCTTCACTGTGGAAGTCAATCCTGAACTGAATTTGTTGAGTACGTATTTCATTATAAAATTTGGTACCCGCCTGAGATTCGAACACCGGTGCATCGTTCAACACGAATGCACCGGACGTCTTATCCTTTTAGGCCACGACGACTTCAACTTAAGTGCAATCAGAAATAGTAAGTATTGGTTTATTTTTAGAGGATGATATTAATTTTTTCTAGAAAAACATTCAGTTTTTAAGTTCGGATATTAAAACTGTAGTGAAAAATGAAGCTCTTTGGAACGGATATTCAATCAACATGTCGTATATTAAAATATATATATTTATTGAAAAAACACATACAGTCGTAAAATAGAGTAAGAAATGAAAAACAATAAAATCTATCTTATATCACATTATGCTTTTGGATGTTTCTCGTGTGCCGGTGTTCCAATGGAGATTAACGTCTGGAACAATAATATTAACACTTTTACTAAGTCCAATTTTGTTGTTTATCTGCTGTCAAGTGGATACCTCTGGTCTGGAGTCTGGAGACATCACGAAGGTTTGCCTACATTTACCTCGAGACATTTGGTTGAGGTATTAATTGTATTGAATTATATACGACCTACAACCAGTAAACGACGCTTGGCGATCGCAGACTGATTGTGTAATAGTTTGAGAACGCTGCTGTTCATTGTCGGGTGACTTCCTGAGCCCTCTTTATGACTTTAATTGATGCGGTGACTTTAGCGGTGCTATTATAGGCCAAAATTACGATGGTGGGATTCACTCATGCTCACGCTGCGACCTATCTACCCAAATATAACGATCCAATCCAACGGGATAGCAATACAGATTTAAAAAAAAAGTTAATTACAAATTAGGAAATGTGTCGACTTTGGAATCTCGTAGACTAAGAATACACGTGCCTAATATGCCCATTTCGGCTTCCACGGTGAATCATTGAATAATAATTAAACCATCAACACATGCAAAGTGGGACACATAAGTCTATTTGTCAACTAACGATTACTGCCCCGTAGCAGTGAAGCGTTCCAGTAGGAATGATCAGACAGTCTTTATATGTACGATACAAATGGGGCTTTCAATCTTCTCTCTCAAGATGTGTAGTGCCATTCAATGTCCGCGAGCACTGGTAGCCGTTTAAGATGGATTGAGCCCTGAGCTTGTTGATTCATCTATAAATTACTCACTTTACGTTTGAATTCTTTTGTTAATACTAATATTTAATACAGAGATAATGCTTACCCATATCCACCTTTGTGACCACCATATCCGCCACCTCCATGCCCGCCTCCGCCCCCGCCGCCGCCACCGCCACCGTGGCCGCCACCGAAGCCACCACCGTTGCCGCCGCCGCTTCCTCCTCCAAATCCACTGCCGCCTCCATGACCACTACCGCCGCCGCTGCCAAAACCACCGCTGCCTCCGT